GAAGCCATAGTAAGATTATGGCGAATACCCGGATTACCTGCGGAACTCTATCTAAATTACGACTGCGGTTTGTATTCTACCAATTTGTACGAGGAATTAATGAAGCTTCTGTCGAAGGTATATTTTTTCCTGTATTAAAATACGATAATGTCATCGATTATCAATGTTACCTTCAATACTTGTCGCTAGAACGCATCCGCATTGATGGGCAATATGTATAATATGCAATTCATTTCTTTGGATGCCATAATAATGTTGATTTCTGGGATGGAAGTCAGGTGCAAAGGTTATAAAGAATTATGCAAGCCATCGCGGCATAATGCTTCGCCGAATCTTCCAACGCGAGAGGAACTGCTCGCTATAAAGTCAAACAAGCGAGTACGTTATGATTGTAATAGTTTTTTTTTTTTTTTTTTTTTAAGTAGCACAAATAGTTTAACAGTTGCATGATTTTTCTTAATTTAGTGGTTGGTGCTTGGTACTGAAAAGTTCAACGAGAATCCACGAGAAGGAATCGCTAAACTTACGGAACACAATCTATTAGGTGGTAGTCCAGGTAATCCCGATCCAGAAAAAGTGGCGAAATTTTTAAAGGAAAATCCTGGACTTGACAAGAAGGCTATCGGCGAGTACATTAGCAAAAAAGAAAATAAAAACGTTTTGAATTGTTTCGTTCATAATTTCGATTTGAGAAACACCCGAATCGATCAAGCTCTACGACTTTATCTAGAATCTTTTAGACTTCCTGGCGAGGCGCCATTGATCTCTTTGTTGCTCGAAAAGTTCGCGGAACATTGGCACGTGAGTTTGCTATTCCGTTTCCGCGACAATTTATATAACGCGTTGACGCAACGAAAATAAACTTAGATCGCCGTTTGTCTTTCCAGGATAGTAACGGCAAACCGTTTACTTCGGCTGATGCAGCGTTTACCTTAGCGTACGCTGTAATCATGTTGAATGTTGATCAGCACAATTACAACGTGAAGCGACAGAATAACCCAATGAACGCGGATGCGTTTAAAAGGAATTTGAAGAAGGTTAACGACGGTGCTGATTTCGATCAAGACATGCTCGATGAAATATATACCTCCATTAAGTACGACTGTCATTATTATCGTCACTTACTAACCTATTAAGTTTCGATACCGAAATTCATGGCTGATCGAACAATGTAATTCTTAGGAGCGAGGAAATCGTAATGCCAGCTGAACAGACCGGATTGGTGAAAGACAATTACTTATGGAAAGTGTTGTTGCGCAGAGGAGCTGGACCCGAGACGACCTATTTAAAAGTTGGAAACGCTGGCGAATTCGTAGACAAAGAGCTAGCCGAGCAAGCCTGGGCACCTATCATCAGTGCGCTTTGCAGAGCGTACGACAAAGCACCCGACAGGTCTTTGCAACGCCGAGTCGCGGATACGTTTCTCCGGTTTGTTACGTTTTTCCAGACTCAACACTGAGCGACCACATTGGACAATCATAACGGTATCTTTTTTCTTGATTTTCAGTTGCGCCTCCATTAGTGCTCATTACGGCATGAGCAGCGATTTAGATACCCTCGTGGTCAGTTTATGCAAATTCACGGGGCTCGCTACCGGCGCTGAACCCGACCAAGTGGTCATGCATCTTGGTCGTAGCGGCAAGTGTCAGCTAGCCGCGCGAACTCTATTCAAAATCTCTCGCATGCACGGAGACGCGATGAGAGCCTCGTGGAAGAACATCGTCGACTGTCTGCAATCGTTGTACAAAGCAAGACTGTTACCAAAGAGTCTGATCGAGGGGGAGGATTTCATAGATCCATCGGGAAAGGTATCTCTGCTTCGGGAACCGACTGCGCCGAAGGCACCGCCGGTCGACCAAGGGATATTCTCCAGTTTGTATTCCTACATAGCTCTGGATACCTCGCGGATGTCTCATCCCGCGGAGGCAACCGCGAGGAAGAAAGCCACCGAGTTCGTCGCCACTTGCAATCTCAAACAGATCATAGAGGAGAGCAAGTTCTTGCAGGTTGAGTCTCTCCGTTCCCTCATCGGTGCTCTGGTGTTCACGAACTTGAACGATGAAGACGTGTCGGTGTTCCTGTTGGAGTTGTTGCTAGAGGTAACCATTCAGAATCGCGACAGAGTGATGTGCATTTGGCCGATAGTGCAGGCGCACCTAGATGGCCTGTTGACAACGGCTGCGCGAGAAAATCACCCTTATCTTCTAGAAAGGGTGGCCGTTGGAATGCTAAGGCTAGCGATTCGATTGTTGCGAGGAGAGGAATGCGCGTGGACTGTCTTACTTCCTTTGTTACCTTTGACTCATCTGCCGTCTGCGACTACCGCACCCCTCGCACGTCAAATTGCATACGGTTTATTCGAACTGTTGAAAACTGGTGCCGCCAACATTCATAGCACAGAGGATTGGAGAGTGGTGTTCAGTCTGTTAGAATGCGCAGGCGCTGGCGCGTTGTCGCCGAAGCAGTCGAACACGGTTTTAGACGAAGCCACCAATGCCAGAACGTCGATGTTGGATCCTAGGCCCATCAGTCCCGTGCCCGAATGGGCGTTAATGTCTCCTACGGGAACGGAGGCACCTCTGCCAGTTGCCGCTGACACGATAGTTTTCGATCGCGACCTGCTACCGCACGATCCTGCCGCCCTCGCCAAGTGTTGCGAAAGCTTGACGTTTCTAGTCAGAGACGTGGCGCACGTCACTCCGTTCAACTTCGAGTTGTGCATCCGTTGCGTGAGGACTTTTGCCGAAGCGGTACTTCAGTGTACGGGAAAACGAAGCAGAGTGCACAACACGGCGGAAGAACCCGCCAGCTATCAGCAGAGTCCACTTCAGCTATTAGATTTGATGTATACGTTGCACACCAGAACCGCTCAAGTATTTCGATGGTGGGCAGAAGAGGGTAACGCCATGGAAGGAGTGTCCCTATGGCCGCAGGCATGGAGGCCTCTATTGCAAGGTATCGCAAGATTATGCTGCGATGCTCGCAGGCCAGTTCGTACCGCGGCCATAACGTATCTTCAGAGCACGTTGCTCGCCCACGATTTAGCTCAATTATCCGCGGTGGAGTGGTCTCAGTGTCTAGAACAGGTACTGTTCCCTCTGCTGGCTCAACTACTAGGACCGATAACGTCGAACGATCCTCTTGGCGTGGAAGAGACGAGAGTCAGGGCGGCGATGCTACTGTCCAAAGTCTTTCTTCATCACTTGACTCCTTTGCTGAGCCTTCCCGGGTTCTTACCTCTCTGGCTCACCGTTCTAGACTTGCTCCGAGCCTATATGCACGCGGACAACAGTGAGCTTCTCTTCGAAGCTATACCTGAGTCATTAAAGAACATGTTACTGGTGATGTCATCCGCTAACGTGTTAGCCCCCGATTCTAATCTGTGGGCGCCCACTTGGAGAACAATCGATGGCTTCTTACCTTACTTGAAAGATGAACTTTTCCCCGAACCCCCTCCGCTTCCGGCGCCATTGCAGACACAGCAAACTTCGCAAGTCATCAGTCTGGTGGAGCAGCAGCAACCTTCGTTCCCTGGATCCATAGCGCCTCAGCCAGAAACCGCGTCAGTCGATCAAACGGAACATTCGCCGTGTCAAGAAATAGAGACATCTGTACTCGCTAACGAAACTCCGAATTCTAGCCCAACGAACAATCTCATACCCATCTCGATACCTCTGGCGCCCTTGTCGTTCGAGAACAAAGAATCGCAACAGGTGATCACACTGGTGAATCAACAGCCTCCAAGCGTTTCGAGTCCAGTCGCTGTGCAACCAGCCGCGCAACAAGTATTCGACGTATACCAACCAATCGACCACGCGAGCATCGAACCTCTAGACCAAAAACTACGGTCAACAACAAAAGAAGAGGATCTCGAGCGATTACCAAAGATTAGTCAAAATAACAAGCAGGATCACGCTGTCCTGGCTAAGTACGAAGAATGGAGGCAACAGCATCTGGATGGCTCGCCGTTGCACCAGAACTCTGTGCAACACTTACTGTATAAGCAGGAACCGCAAGATGTCGGAGCGGTGAACTCTTCGCACCGCGAGAACTCGTCCGAGGTGAATCATTGTCTCGCATTCTAGCAGGAGCCTATCCGGTTGCACACTGGCAGTTTTCATCACTTTTTTTCGTTTATGTTCTCGCGCAACCCTTCACGTTCGTTTTAGTTGTAACTGGTCTGACTTCTTATTGTTCAGTTTTTAGGAAAGTCTACCATCGGAGAGTGTAGTAACGAAGAAATGTATAGTAAGTGTAAGAGATACATTGAACTCGTTAATTAGATGGAGCTCAAAAACTGAACCGATTTGCCAAGGTAAAACCGTGGCAAAGCTTGAGAATGTGATAAGAAAAATAGGGGTTTTCTCGTAACTTGAATGCAACTCATTATCTTTTGTATAAATTCTCAAATCATACAATTGAGAATAAAGTTCTCTCCTTCCATCATTAAAATTTACACGCTTTCAGAAGTTCATCGTATCTTTTTCGCCGACTATACAGTATTATTTAGTTCCGTTTGTTAGGACTGAAGAGGTTTGAGACGAAGAACATTGTTTTACGGTCCGCTTTGTTTCGCTGCGCGTTAATCTGTGAGACGTCCTATTTCAACGATGCATCGATCCATCATAGCTTCCTCCTTTTCTCTCATTTCTTCTTTTACTACACTGTACCATACGATTAGCATTAGCTTTATTGGCTGGATATTTGTACATACATATTAGAAACGGAATTTAATAATCGGAATATTTTCTTTGCAGACGACAGCTGTAGATTCTACGGCGGCGACGATGTTTAATTCTGCGGCGTATTTTAGCGAGGATCCCGCGGCGGATCGACTATTCGCCGTGACTAATCCTTGACCACTGTACATTCGTTATGTATATTGTATGATATAAATATTTCTATGGAACACGAAAATCCCTTTGTCCATGTTGGAGAGAAATTTCCATGTTCGTTTCTAAACCGGAAAAGAAAAATCAGTAGGCGTGACATAGTGAATAGACCTTTGACTTGATGTATATTTTGGCATGGCAATATATTAATAATAATATGTTACAATGTCGTCGATATTATTATTAATATATACGTATACATAAGATATATACATATATACACATACGCATGGGTTACAACAGGTAGTGGGTACATATTATGTAAGTAGGGCTCCTTCTCACTTGGTTGGTCACCTCGATAATTAAATGAGACTCGATACATTGCACGAATAGTTCGGATCTATTTTTCTGCAACTATCAAGCTTTAGTTGTAATTAATAGACCATGGATTATATGCGTTTACAGGGTGTGCATGAAAATGTATGAAAAACGTGCGCTAAACATACGCAGAATGTACACACTTATTCAAAATAAAATATTCATATTATTGTATTATCTTATTACATTCTGCATACGTTTTGCACGTGGTTTCTATATTTACATAAACCCACGAAATCCGAAGCTTGATAATTGGCCGACATGGAAGTATCGTTGGAACACACAATTCACTTCCGAAACACCAAAATCGATCATGTTTATACGAACTTATTTTATTGTTTTGACACATTATGTTACACCCTGTATATGTACATACAATGCAATTTGCGAGCAGAGAGTCGATCTCTCTATCTCTTCCCCTATACATACGTGACCAGATATTTTTTTTTTTTTTTTTTTTTTTTTGCACGTCGCGACACCTCTGTACGATTCCGTGGTCGCGTTTTATTCACGTCATTTTGTACATACATACGCAAGAAAATATATTGGTTGATCATGGATTCGTAGAGATTTCGTAACCGCAAACTGAAGCTCGACACGTAGCATCCGCGTTCAAGGAAGAACAGTTTCAAGCATTCCTTTCTTATTTTCTCCCTAATCTCTCTAGACGTTATTTTTCATTTCCGTTCTAGATTCAGGCACCATTTCTTTTGTATCGTGTACATCAAATTATAGCTTGTACTCCTGTTGATGTTAATGTTTTAACCCTTTATAGGGCAGAACTTGCTCTGCATTTTTGTTCATTTTTTTTTTGTCATAAGTCGTAATCCATTTCCTTACATCATAAAATTAAAAATATAAAATTCCCGCTCTTTCCTTAGTGGTAACAACGAGTACCAGTGACCTGTAAAGGGTTAAATTTCCAAAATTCCTAATATTTTCTGGATGAGCATCCCTTGAATTTGGCTATTATTTTTGTTTTATCGAAAAATATTCGATGGTTAATGTTTTGCTATTAACCTAGAAAATAGAAGCGCAATCTATTCTTTGAAACATGCTCTTCCCAGTTTTGTGTCGTTTAACGGAACAATTATTGATCACAATGAACGGTTTCATGAATTCACGAGTACCTTAAAAGACCCTAAATTCCTCAACATCTTTGGTACATGTATATCGAGGCAAGGATAGTTCGTGCCACTCTTACTCGCCTTTTCGGCAATAATAACCCAGACGTTTGCATTTCTCGCACAGGTGTTGCGGATGGACCTTGCTCTGATCAGATACGTCCAGCCCTTCTGGTTTCTCCAGCCGTTTCTGTAAATACATGGTTCTAATTAGGTTGTGTGAACGTGGAAGTGCAGGCAGGAGTTGAAAGAGGAAGTTTAGGGGTTACGTAAAGTTGGGCACTGAAAAAAAAGGCACGATTTTGTTAATATGTCTTGTAAAAATAATAGACATCGATGATCGTAGCTTAAAGCCTTGTTGACCGAATATTTCAAATCAAAACTATCTTACATACTAATTGTAAGTAAAAGGAAATGTCTTCTTCGACATCTTGAAAGAACCTAAAGAATCCACGTAATAATAGCATCTTTTATTATTCTACTAAGAAGTTGTTGATTTTTCTTCTGGACTTTTGGCCACGATTTGGTGAAAATTCGTCAGTGTGCGACGGTATTTGCGTTTTGAAATTTTCTCCTTGCCCACTAAAAATACTCGTCGCGTCTGCGACGCACACGGTCCTTTTCGACGGAGGAAGAAAGAGTCAACGAGGGAGTTTTTGCCGCGGAACGGGCTGGGTATTTTCTGCGCACCGGGCGATCAGCGTGAGCGCGATTATGCGACTATAATTAGCTTTCGCCGGTTTGCGCGATATTTCGAAGCATGTCCGCGGTCGACAAAGTGTTTTTGTTAAATATTTATTGTAGAAGTACAAATGGGTTTATAATTATTACATTCTTCATAATTTATTTAGATTTCTGTTTTGTTCCATTTGGACTTGGACAAAAAATTTGATATTAAATGAAAGTTTCATTAATATGGTACATACGTTCGTTACTTATAATACATGTGTACTTATATTTTTGCTGAAAGGATATCAACACCTTGGAGTCGATAGTTGATCAATTGAAAACTGAAGTAATACACTGTATATGTTTATCAACAAGAATCTTATCGTACTTATATGTACTGAAAGAATGTCAACACCTGAGGTCAGTAGACTATTGAGAATAGTTGAAGGATCAAGAATATTTTCGCGGTTCAACACACGTGAAAGCTCGATCCGTAAATAGTAGAGGCTGCAGCTAAAATTTCGTGGAGCTGGGCGCCAGTGGAAAATCTGATTTCCCCCGCCCCCCCCCCCCCCATGGCGTGTTTACGAATCGGGGCCGTCGCGCGCTGTGAAAACGCGGAAAATCGATCACAAGAGGGACAAGGTGTAACAGGTGTCCCGGTCGATGTGGAAATTACGCAAGTGCGGAACATGGTGCGGCGTATATTCACCTGTTTGTGCGGATAGACGTTTATGTGGCACTTGATGCATTCCTGGCCCATATTCGCCCAGCTGTTGCTCGACATCCACTTGCGTTTGCATTTTGGACACTTGTATTCCCCGAAGCAACGTTTTTTTCCTTGATAGGGTGTCCGACCCTCGCCCTTTGGCCGTGCCTGTAGTAGAAACACATAGTATCCTTTCATGGGAATGGTCTAATCATTGGGTTAATCAGTGGGTGGATTGTTGAGTGATTTATTTGGAGTCTATTTCCTTCGAATTCGATTTGACATGGAATGCTCCTTAATGTGTGTTCTACGATCGAGCACAGTTATCAGATAATATTCGCGATTGCTCGCGCGTCAACTCCCAAAAAAGTGGCGCGTGCATGCGGCCTTAATGGGGCCAAACTCATCAACCATGCTGGCTGAGGAGTAACAAGTGACGTCATCCTCGACAGAGACGCTGTTTGTTGTCTCAATTAGCGTTCAATTGAGCACCGTATCGCGTCGTCGCATCAAGCGACGCGCTTCGTTTAGAAGCACCGCGGAATTCGCTCGTAACCGCGCTCGTTTCAATCTACATAGGAATAGACCATGCTCTCTGAGCTTATACGGCAGCTGGAAGTATTTTTGGAAGAGTGTTCAGACATTTTGCCAATGTTGCAACTTTATGGAGAATCTCGATTATCAATTTCAGCTGGGTACTAGCTGGACATTTCTTGAGGAAGGGTGTTCTTTTTGTCAGTGTTGTAGCTTCGTTACTACGTTTATCAAAAGTTTTATCTGTTCGCTCAAGCTCACGTTGTAAGTAGACAACCAACAACACAGTTAACTAATTGCACCAGATAAACGATGCATTTAAAAAGCTTATAAACTAATTATGAGCCTGCAGATGTTGATCCAAATTCGTATTTTTATACGTATACACAAATAAAGCCCAGAAGCGTAACCTAAAGCATGTTTTAATGGTGTCGATACAGATTAACACCATTTATTATTTTCATTTTTTGTATTATAAAGGGAATTTTAAAAAACTGGGTACATTATTTCCACGCATTTCTCAACTTTTTCGTTTAAGGAGTTAATCGATTTGTGCACAGAACGGCTTAAATCATCTTGCTCTTCCCCTAATTTTATCATACACACGCGATCTAGAATTGTGAAAGCTGTAAGGGATCCAAAGAAATTTATCTGAAGATAGACACCTGCGGACAGTCCTTGATGTAGTGGTCCTTCTTGAAGCACAGGTGGCAAAGGTAGCTGGGTGGCGGCCTCTTGGTCGGCTTCCGGTCCAGCAGACCCAGCTCCGTGAAATGGTCGGCGAGATCGCCGATGCTGTCTGCCAAAGTAGCTCCCATCGCACCAGAAGGACTCAGTCCACCTCGATGCAAGTACGTATGCGAGCCTGCCGTGGGGAAGCCGTTCCAGATCGTTGGAAGAAGCTTGCTCTAAAGTCACAATCGGTGGTTGGATCGTTAATATTATGCTCGACTCGTCTAACAATAAATCGTTGGTCAGGAAGTCGTTGATCATTTTCTTGGAGCCCTCAGGCTCCAGTAGCTGTGATAAAGCATGCGATGTGCTTTGTCATAGCTATAGTACGTGTCTAGCCATTCCGAGGTATCCGAGCTATAGAGGAACCACCAGTGGACCCTAACAACACACTGGCATCTCTCAGAGAAATGTCAGAGGTATGCAACGAAATGAAAAGTGACGTAAAGTTACAGTCACCTTCGTTTTTAAATGGATCGATATGTTTATGCTTCCGTATAAAAAGGCGATAATACTTACGGTTTTGGTACTCAATGACACATACAGTAAACAGTAGAGGAAGGCGTGCTGACTGTTTACCGCTTACTTCACCGATTGTGAGAATCAACACTGAATGAAGGACACTTTAATCAGTTTGCAGGATAAGATGAACATGATAAGATTAGTACCTACAAATCCGATTAATCCGGCACGTTTGAATCCGTATCTGGATTTCTTTCTGTGGGGAACAATGAAAGATACATAAAATGTACAAACAAGTACAAACTACACCTTACGCGACATGCAACAGCGAATTATTGCAAGCTGTGCGTTAATAAGGTCTGACGCTGTAAGACTTTCAAGTCAATCAATCGTAGAAAAAGAGTTCAATGTTGCATCGACAGTGACGGTGATCATTTTGATCACTTACTATAAACGTACGTTTCATTTACTAGCAAAACCGTAAATATTATCGCTTTTCTCTACTTTCTGTGCCCTTCAATGACCTTGTGTAATCGGTCGTTGAACTCGTTTCAAGATCCTCTATCATGATGTGAAAGCATAAACCTGCAAAAAAACTATTATTAAATATTAGCAAATATTTCTGCGAAACTTATAGTTTCGAAGATATCTGAGATGCTAATAGTTATTGCCTCACCCTGTAAATTTTAAAGTTTCCACTGTAACTCTCCCGATTCAAAAGATTTCTTTTTCAAAATTCTCTCATATATCTTGATAAATAGAAAAAAAATCCCTCACTTAAAGACAACAGGGTAATAACTGTGACAGAGTCACTTTTGCGTACCCGGTCCGGTGGCTGAGCATGATTCTGATCAGCGATCGCCAGGTAGACCCAATTGAGCAGGTGGGGCGAGTAGTGAGGTTGCTGAAGGGGCTTCTGAGTTGGGTTACCGATACCGTTGATGGATCCAACCCCGACCTGTGTCGGCTCCTGCAGCTGCAGGTGCTGAACCACTTGCCTCGGCTGACAGGCGGCCATAATACCTGACAACTTGTGGCCGTCACTCGCGATTCTACGTCGATTCTCACCGATTCCACCTGCGATTCATCCCGCAGCAGGTTATTCCCTCAAAGTTCCACATTTTCGAGATGGACGGCTCTATCGTTGCGTCTACGTTAACTTTACGGCACAGATCGCTGGAAACTTTTGGCTGACACTGCACACATATGATCTTCTTCAAGGTATAGTATCGCTAACACAGCATCACCTTTGGACCCACAGAAGTAAAATTCTGGATAGGCCACAAATAACTAGGACACAATTTTCCTCGAAACCCAATCCAACTTTCGATAAAACTTGAAGATTCACAGATTCACAAGCCTCCCAAGGCGAATTCCCGTCTAGCTGACTCCTCGAGCGGAGTGGATTCTGCTGGGATCGCGGTACACGCACACAGAGCGAACGCGAGGGATTTTATACACACGCACACACACACACTCTCACTCACTCACTCACTCACTCACTCACTCACTCACTCACTCACTCACTCACTCACTCACTCATTCACACGTTGGTGATCTGCGTTCGTGTATGTTCATTTTGCCGTCATATGTTCGCCGCGCGACGATGTATTCTTGTACCAGCGAACTCCGACGTCCAAGTTAAACAGCAGCTCGCTGTGTACCGTCTCGCGGATCCTCCACTTCCTCCTCGAGGACGCGACGATCGATGATCGATGATAGATCCAACAAATGGGCCTCGTATCTACACACTTCTTTGAAGATTGTTTGTCGAAACACTTCGCTATGAGTTTCGGGAAGTTGGGAGATCCTTGGGAGGTCTTGAAGAGATTTTTGGGAGAGGATTGATCTTCCAAATGGTCTCGTATCTTCACTTTTCCTCGGAGATCGTTTACAAAAAATACTCCAGCTGATAACACGATTAATTTTGCAATCCTGGGAAATCTTGTAGAGATTTTTTAGAGTTGTACGAGCGGTGAGGCGCGTATGATCCAGGAGCGAATCGTCTTTCCCAGTTTCGACGGACTCGTTTCTTCGGAGGATTCGAGTTAGATCTGAACGACGACAGTGTTCTCCGACGCAGACACGTACGAACGCATAGAGAGCAATCTGGCCAGCGTTAAAGACCCCCGCCATGTGGTGAAGCTATTTCAGTGCTTGCTATCCACCGAGCAGCCTGCCGCGGATCAACCTCGAGCGCGTTTCGATCGAGCCCCGAGTGCGAAGCATTCTGCTTAGGCTGCTCCTGTCTCGCGCGTCTTTCCGTTCATCTTATAATTTATATCGCGTGTCCTTCGATCGCACGTGCGATCGACTGCTGTCTGTTTAAATCACTTGATCTCTAAGATCACTCCAGAATTGATTATTTTCCTGTCTTAGAAGTAGAGATGTCGAGGCTGATAGCTGAACGGAGTTCTTCGTGTTTTAGTGAGAGTATTATTTTACTTTGGATGAAGAGGATAGGTTCTTAGTTCTTCTATTATTGCTGATTGAGATTTTAAAAATATTTCTGGGTAATTATATTTAAAGAATTATCAAATTGCTTAGGTTGCGACCGTTTATATTATATTTGTATCGCGGGACGCGTGTTGCGTTTTAGTTAGGCGAGTCATCGAACCCTTTCTATTAATAAATACGGAATATCGATTAGCCACGATATTCGGACAGCTTTCGTTCAATCGTCCCATTAATGTTCGACCGAGCGATGGCTTCAATCTGATCTTGGAACGCGAGTCTCGAGTGTCAAAGGTCCCACGAAAACATTTCAGAACCTCCACGGGGTAAATTCGACGTAAGGTGCGCTCTTGGTTTGACCCCCTTTCCCGTATGCAACGTATGCAACGAACACTACACATTGTTAGTTTGAAAGTTAATTCATTATTCATCGCTCGCGTGGCAGATCGATTCTAACCTTTCGCTTCCAAACGATTCCATGTGGGTTCAGCAGAAGTTTATAGTTATTAAAATATACAAACACATTTTTATTTCTTAATTAAATTACATTCAGTAAATTCCAAATAATTTGAAACACTTGAACAATGTTGTTATTATAAGAAAAATGTTCTTAGAAGATAACGAAACCTCAACTAGATAGATGTTGAGAGTTTAATGGTTATTTAGGGTGTTCAGACCATGCAGGAATTTTTAGCGAATAAGGACCATCTCAGAATTTTGTGACAATTTTAAATGATATTAAATGAATCATCCAAGTAAAAGTCGTGTCCTTTAGGTAAGGTACTTGTTCTTTTCGTCAGCATTGCAGCTAGTTTCTTCTTTAACGACACAAACGCGAACATTCCGCAGGAAACAAGCATTATTTATATCGCAGTGGTCGTAATTAAAACGAAACAAACATGGCCGGAGAACAAGAGCGGTATTTAAGCGCCCGCAACCAAAAGACCTTGGAAAACTTTCTGGCAAGTTTGGCCGCGTGGTGACCTATCGCCTTTGCGAAAGGAACTCGGCACGCAAAGTTCAGCCACGATAATTCTGCTCCAACAAGTTCCCTCTCACCTATACGCTCCATCCTCGATGAGGTACACGCGTCCACTATTAGCCCTTCGACCCTGCATTTCACGATTCCCGTTATCTTTTCTCGAAAACGACTTCCACGTTACCGTACTTCTTTAAAAAATTTGTTCTTTGAATATCCTCGCTCTGATTCGAGGGGACGGTTATCAGGACACTTTGAGACTTTGCTTGGAAGTCACCAAAGCTTTCTTCCCCGCATAACCTATGTAAGAGACGCGCAAACAAGAGGAACCTTGACACATCGCGCCCGTGTTCTAGAAATAAACGCGTTCAAGGGAACAAGCCAAGAAATACTCTTGTCTTCTATTATCAACCCTTCGTAAATTTTTCACGAGACGAAACGTTCACCCAATCTGCTAGCAATCACACCAGTATCAAGTATGGACTGTCTGGATGAGAGTCTTTCAGTAATTGCATTCACTTAGGGCCTTTGGAAGAGGGAAGAAAGGATTAGAATACAAATAAAATTAATAGAGTACATAGAGTAAATAGATTAGAATAGATTAAATTACAATAAATAGAGTACAATTATTGAGTAGAATTTTTGGCATGCACAGGAATATTATTGTATTTGGTCTTGGATCTTTAAATATTACGTAATTGAATTCATCGGTTATATGAATGCAATTATTTGTATTTTCTTGTAGGTCCGTTAGCTAGTTATCCAGATAATGTTTCAGCACTTGTTATTAAATTTTTATTAGAATTTCTTATATGTAGATTGTTCTCCAGACGTATCGGTCCGCGCCAGGTATATACTATATGTATAGTCGCTTCGAGCGTACACTCGATCAGCTGGTCTCGAGAACGTCACTCACGCGTGTGATAACATCCATCGACGTCGTGGGCACGTGAAAAGCATGTTAAAAATAGAATCTGCATATATAGATCGAATTAGGCGGACGTTGTAACGTAGTGGTAGGTCGTGACTCCTTGTGTCACCCTCGAACTCGGTTCGCCGCGGAAAAGTAACCTTCGTCTACCCTATTTTAATATTCAATCCTCCGCCCAGCCGTGCGTGGCCGACCACGGGGGCATCCCCCGTATATGTATATAATTACCCGTTGATCGATAATCGTCGATGACAGTCTCGCTGGCTGCTCGTCGGCGTCGGAACAGTTACAGCCTGGAAGCGGTCGCGGCGATTTCAGGAAACGGAATCTCATCTACCACGTAATTTTTCCAATCGAATCAAGTAGATTTCTTCTTGGAGTTCCTAGTGCCTTCTTCATAGTGAATTCACAGGGTGATTAACGAGTGTTTCTATTCATAGATGGTTGGGCCCAATTGTTGAGCATCCGCTGATCTCTAACATCCTCCAACAATTTAAATTAGGCGTAATAAAACGTTCACTGAACACTGTGAATCTCTGAGTGCATCTTCTCTGAATGTTTTGGCTGTTTGACGACTTTAAAGGCGCGTCAACTATGCGAACGTCCATCTTACAATTAATTCAACTCCTCTACCAACATGTTCATTTCTTCTCCCTAGTGCCCCTGGTGTCTAAGAAAGTAAAGTTTGAATTTGAATTCAGTTGACGATTGAAAAGTGTTAGTTCTGATCTAAGACGGTACGCGTGTGTTCGGTCGTTTATTGGCTCACAGAGCCATGTACTATGCAGTCATCGAGCCTAAACGATCTCGTCGTTGATCCTTTGCGTCGCACCTACTTGTTTAGGAAAGAATAGCGAAGAAACGTAGTCGACGATTCTCGTTTCATCGCAGAAGAATTTTCCTCAATAATCGACTTTGGAAGGAGATCTCCTTAGGAGTAGGAAACAGGATGGAAAAGTACGAGATGATGGAGGTTGTTGGAGAAGGTAGCTATGGAGTAGTGATGAAGTGCAGACATCGAGAGACTGGCCAGTTCGTTGCCATCAAGAGGTTCCTGGAAACTGAAGAGGATCTCCAGGTGCGGAAGATGGCGTTTCGCGAGATCAGGATGTTAAAGGTACGTCGAGGAGAGAGGTTTATCGAGTTGTTCGAGTAATCGTATAGTCTCTATTGTTAATTTCTGATTTTAGAATAAATCTTAAATTCTAAGGAATTGAAATGAACTTTTTGGGGAAATACTCTTTAGACAATACGGACAATTTGAAACTTTTATAAAGGTTGTAACAACTATTCTCCTGTATCGATTCATTGTAACAATAAAATAATTTCATTTTAAAAGACGAAATAAGAGGCATGTAGTAGAGGAGGAGGAAAAGAGTGTCTTAATAATTCTAATAAATAATCTTGCATATTTATTAAAATGTTTACCGTGTACCATTTTCGGTACACTTGACTCGAATAGAAAGTTGAACGCAGATCATATCCGCTTGCAGAAATTGCGTCACGAGAATTTGGTGAATATGATCGAAGTATTCCGGCGAAAGAAACGATTCTACCTAGTGTTCGAGTACCTGGACCACACTTTGCTGGATGAATTGGAACGCTTTGGTGGTAGCCTAGGTTACGAGATATCTAAGCGACATATCTACCAAGTACTTCGGGGATTAAACTTCTGTCATGCCAATAATGCGAGTATCAAAGCTACTTTATCGTATACATAAGAATATTAAAAATGCTGTCCTCCTGACCATAAAAAGTAATCAAAATCGTAAGACAATCGTAACATTAAAATAAATTCTTCTTTGTTTTGGTTGATATTCTGGATAATAACCTCGAAAGCCAGTGCAATTGTTGTATCGCAAGCAATAATCTTTCCATAGCAAGCGTAAAATATCGGTAGAAAATTTCCTCTAATATTTCAAACGATTCTCTGCAGATCATGCATCGTGACATAAAGCCAGAGAACGTTCTCGTGTCGCCCAATGGAGTCATCAAGCTTTGCGACTTTGGATTCGCTCGACTCGTCAGTGGACCAAACGAATCCTGCACGGATTACGTAGCAACCAGGTGGTACCGATCTCC